TACTTGTTTTTTTTATGAAAATAAAACTTTGCGTTGAAGAAAAGTTAATTTTTGTTTGTGTATGTTGTCATTTATAGTTCTTGGAAAGAAAATCGGAATCGGCAAAAATCGGCATCAGCAGGTCACACTAACGAAAAATCGGAATCAGCCAAGAAAATTGCAATCGGTGCATCTCTAAAGAAAAACTATATATATATGAAGATGAAGATGTTGATATAAAAAATCTTTAAAATGTGTGCGTAATGTGACTTGATATGATTATATGTGATTTTTCTGCATTACACTAAAAACAGTTTTGTATGAAAATGTGATTTAATGTCATAAAAACCAGAAATGAGACTTTCTTTATGCAGTTTCTTACTTTTATCTTTTAATATTGGGTGAAAAGTCATCTGGAACACATTTTTGACAGGATTCATAAAAAGGAAAAACGGCTTCAGAATCATTTAGTAAACCCAGATATCCCATGATCCTCTGGGCTCTCATTTACAGTATAAACAGCAAAGAGAGACGCCGAGGGACTCTTTCTGGAATATTCACTACCCTGGATAACAAAATCAGTGTTAAACCCCTTAATTACAGGACTGCGATTTCTTTTGAACTATAATTATAAACAGGACGTCTTTTATTGTACAGTACACTACTAATGCATAATGAATATTTAAATGTCTAGTCTGCTGAGGCTGTATTGTGAGCATGATTTATATTCGTGGCATTTAGAAGCTGCAGATCCGTGTTAATGTCATCTTCATCAGTGCCTCATGTAAATGAACCTGCAGGTTGGAGAATCAAACACTGTCAGTCGACTAGTTAAACCTGCATGAAGCCAATAACCGGCTGTCATCTGTTATTTCCTGATGAGCCAGAATGACTGCTGTCAAGACTAAACACTGACTGTTGATTCAGACACAGAAGAGAGGCGTGTGAGGTTTTGCTGTAATTCTGCACCGCTGTGACGTCCAGCAGTGGAAACACGGAGATCTGGTGTCTGAACACGCATGACGATTCTGACCGCATCTGATGGACAGATCCAGACCCGTGTGAGCCGGACACACAACAACAACACCGACGGAAATACAGTCTCAGGACACATACTAAAAACTAAGCATCTTAAACATGGTGCTTATGCTGAAAAAACAGGGACAATGGCCAAAAACATCTATTTTTACATGTGTGTGCATTAAAATATTTAAAAACAGTGCAAAAGAACTTAAGAAACGACCTCTTAAAGACCCAGTTACGTGTTGTTTTTGTTTTTAGATTTTTATGATACATACAAGGGGTGCAAAAACTAAACTAAAAATTTATTTAAAATAAAAATGTAAATAAATGAGGAAATTAAAACGGGAGGACATTAAAAGCAGAAACAGAATAAAAAAATTTAAATAATCAGTTTATTTACAAACTAACTAGAATAAATCTAAATAAATTACAATTAAAATGAATTAAATTACAACAAATTAAAATAAATATAAATAAATACATCTACGTAAATTGTTTTATAAAAATAAAAACTGAAATAATCATTTAAAAAACAGACAAATTACAATACATTGAGATAAATTAAAATAAATTAAGATAAATAAAATACCAATGTAAATATAAATAAATATTTTCTTATAAAGGGGAGTTAAGTTTAAAACTAAACAACATAAAAATAACTGAAATAATTAGTTTATTTAAATTTATATTTTAATGCACAAAATAATAATAATAAAATAAATAATTAAACAAATAAAAATGTAAATGCACCAAGTACAAACTAATTTCTACGCAAAAAACTGTTCAGATGGTGGAAAGGGTTAATCAGCCAAATCCAGAAAGGGCTTCCAGATTTTAGAGGATGCTGTGATGGATCAATAAAAGGAAATCTAATCACAGTACCGTACTGTAATGAACGTGACTGACAGACGTGAGCATGCAAAGAGTCAAACGTGGAGCCGTGTCTCCTCGTCTCCGTCTGTGTGTCTGCATTCATACAGCAATTATCAGCCAAACAAAAGAGAAACGGCAGCGCTTGTTTTGTTCACTATATGCAGTGACGGACACATTAACATTTCAACAATCGTCTCGTCTGTGAAGGACACGTGTGACTGGAGTAATTATGCCTTCTGGAACTTCTGGAACAGCCCTCACCCATATTGCCTTAAAATAACACTAATGTGGGCAACTCGCTAGGCCTGTTAAGCGCTGAGATTAATGCTATTCTGCCAGCATGGAGAACTTTCAGGGAACATTTGTGGTTGAAGAAACGTGGTTACAATCAATCGATCAAACTCCACACACAAGACTAGAGGCGTGTAAAACTACATATTTTGAAAGTCAGCTACATGACTTTTCTGAGGGACTAGTTGGAAAGACTGAAGGACTAAATAACTCAGAACACCCTAGCAACTGCATAGCAACCACCTAAAACACCCTAGCAACAGCCTAAGACACTCAGAACACCTTAGTAACTGCATAACAATGGCCAAAAACACCCAGTACACCCTAGCAACTACATAGCAACAGCCTAAAACACACATAACACCCTAGTAACTGTACAGCAACAGCCTAAAACACTCATAACACCCTAGCAACTGCATAGCAATAGGCTAAAGTCATTTGCAACACCTTATCAACTGCATAGCAACAGCCTAAAATACTCAGACCACCCTTGCAACTGCATAGCAATGGCCAAAAACGTTAACAAGACCCTAGCAACTACATTGAAACAGCCTAAAACACACATAACACCCTAGCAACAGCATAGCAACAGTTTGGCATCATGGTGGCACCTGCTGGAAGGCACAAGTTCTCGCTACATAACAGACAGATGGGTCACCTCCTCATTAACCACACTCACATGAGAGACAGAAGTGTTTTACTCACCGTCACTGCGATCATGGAGTCGTCGGGCTTCCATTCCACCTGCTGATAGAAGCCGAACTGTGCGGCTGCTTTCCCAGACTCGATATAACTGACGATCAACACGCTGGGCTACAGACAGAGAGAAAGAGACAAAATAAGATATTAATTTGAGTCAGTGTGGTTTAGTTACGTACCGAGTCAATCATCATCACTAGTACTAGTGCTAGCACAAAGTGTGCTTTAGTGTTTGAGCTCAGACCTGAATGATTGCTCAGATCATGCGTGCCGTTTATAAAGTGATCAAATGCACCATTTCCACCTGCTGGACCAGAAAACAGCGGAACAAAATCCCAGATTTTGAAATAATACTTGCAACCCCTTAGTAACTGCTTGGCAACAGCCACTCAGAACACACTAGCAACAGCCTAAAACATCCAGAAGACCTTAGTAACTGCATAGCAACAGCCTAAAAACATTACAAACACCCTAACATTAAAAAAAACATTTAAAAACATAAAAATCAGAACACCCTAGTAACTGCATATCAACTGACTAAAACATTCTAGCAACTTCACAGCAACCACCTAAAACACCCAGATCACCTTAGTAACTGCATAGCAACAGCCTAAAACCCCCAGAACACCCTAGCAACTGCACAGCAACAGCCTAAACATCCTTGCAACTGCATAGAAGCAGTTTGGCATCATGCTAAATTATAAAAACATTTTTTTTAAGTATTAAAAAAATGGTCTTAAATGTGCTATAGGCCTAAACCTCTCAGAACTCCTTAGTAACCACTTAGCAACACCCTCACGTAAACAACACATTTTCAGAAAATATAAAAATCCATTGTTCAGTTTGAAACTGAATCCGTCTTATAAAGCACAGAAGTGAGAGTGTCCTGAAAAGCAGAAATGACGGAGAAGCAAACATTTAGAGGAACTAACTAAAAACTGCAGTAAACACAAAATAAGTGCATGTCTAAACAAATTTAGGAATATGACTACTACACGATTCACACAGCCAACAGAACTAACTGCATTAAATTAATTTTAGTTTAATGTTCACTGCTTATGTATGAAATAATCTGTCTTGCTAATGATTACACACAATAAAGTTGAGAATAACCCAAAATACTCATAAGACAAAATGTAGTAAGACACTGAAAGGACACCGAATAGTGGAAAAATAAACGTTTAATGTCTCAAAGCGTGTGTTTATGTCTTTATTTTACAGATCAACAGAAACGCACAACATTCTCCCAGTGAAATGAAGAGCAGCAGGGAAACACATCAGGAGAAATGAGAGACGGATTTGCAGATGAGAACAGCGCTCGGCCACAAAGAAAAACACCCAAAAATAGAAGCAAAGTGTTGGTTTCATTCTGCCAATGGGGAGCTGTAAAACTCAACACACACACACACATATATGTGTAAAACTCATGAAAAACTTACACTATCGTCACAGAGTTCCACTGCCTTTACCTTCAGTGTGTGTGTGTGTGTGTGTGTGTGTGTGTGTGTGTGTTCAGGGGTCACGAAAGGTCAGACGGGCTTCAGATTCCACACGAGAGGAACGAGCGGCGATCAACAGCCACATTCACAGCGGGTGTTGTGATTGACATCCATATTTACTATCGGACCTTTTAAAAACATAAAAATCAGAACACCCTAGCAACTTCTTAAGGCAGCTGCCAGAGAACACCCTAGTAACTGCATATCAACTGACTAAAACATTCTAGCAACTTCACAGCAACCACCTAAAACACCCAGATCACCTTAGTAACTGCATAGCAACAGCCTAAAACCCCCAGAACACCCTAGCAACTGCACAGCAACAGCCTAAACATCCTTGCAACTGCATAGAAGCAGTTTGGCATCATGCTAAATTATAAAAACATTTTTTTTAAGTATTAAAAAAATGGTCTTAAATGTGCTATAGGCCTAAACCTCTCAGAACTCCTTAGTAACCACTTAGCAACACCCTCACGTAAACAACACATTTTCAGAAAATATAAAAATCCATTGTTCAGTTTGAAACTGAATCCGTCTTATAAAGCACAGAAGTGAGAGTGTCCTGAAAAGCAGAAATGACGGAGAAGCAAACATTTAGAGGAACTAACTAAAAACTGCAGTAAACACAAAATAAGTGCATGTCTAAACAAATTTAGGAATATGACTACTACACGATTCACACAGCCAACAGAACTAACTGCATTAAATTAATTTTAGTTTAATGTTCACTGCTTATGTATGAAATAATCTGTCTTGCTAATGATTACACACAATAAAGTTGAGAATAACCCAAAATACTCATAAGACAAAATGTAGTAAGACACTGAAAGGACACCGAATAGTGGAAAAATAAACGTTTAATGTCTCAAAGCGTGTGTTTATGTCTTTATTTTACAGATCAACAGAAACGCACAACATTCTCCCAGTGAAATGAAGAGCAGCAGGGAAACACATCAGGAGAAATGAGAGACGGATTTGCAGATGAGAACAGCGCTCGGCCACAAAGAAAAACACCCAAAAATAGAAGCAAAGTGTTGGTTTCATTCTGCCAATGGGGAGCTGTAAAACTCAACACACACACACACATATATGTGTAAAACTCATGAAAAACTTACACTAACGTCACAGAGTTCCACTGCCTTTACCTTCAGTGTGTGTGTGTGTGTGTGTGTGTGTGTGTGTGTGTGTGTGTGTTCAGGGGTCACGAAAGGTCAGACGGGCTTCAGATTCCACACGAGAGGAACGAGCGGCGATCAACAGCCACATTCACAGCGGGTGTTGTGATTGACATCCATATTTACTATCGGACCTTCTGTACGGATAAAGTCACTTCCTGATTCTATTCCCACAATGGCATTGATAAAACACCTGTAACCATAGCAACTGAGATATTAACATTTTAAACTTGAATGTTTTCTTATTTATGCTAAGCTATTGTGTAAAACGGAAGTAAACCGACATCAAAAGCGGCACATTTAGCAGATGAATTTCAGGCCGCTCAGCCCACGTGACGCATAGCCTGACTAAATGAAGAAAGGAAAACAGCGCGGACAAAGAAGAGAATACAGCAAAAATCATGCAGCAAAAATCACATCAATCGTCTGCACCATTTCAACCTGAAGTCATATTTGAAACATGCATTTTCTGTAAAGCTAGAAGTATAACAGTATCGTTGGAACCACTTTTTGATTTTTTTTCCAGCTGATAAACTATAAAAACACTGTCTGCCAACCAGAATCCATCTGACTTTAAAGAGCTCGAGCATTTAGAGCGAGAGACCACAAAACCACAGTAAATTAATAATAAACAGAACATTATCGGCCGCTGGTGTGAATGCTAATATAGTTATCGTTCTTGGTGTGAACAAGCCTTAACACTTAAACATTTAGGCTAGTGTGATCACTCACGTACTAACCCTGACAAACTGTCTGTGCAAAACTGTCTATTATATATTAACAGGTGATGACTAGCTTAAAAGCTTCAGGAAGAATATTATGTGCTGCACGTTTCTTTAAGGCAAGACACCTCAGGTGCACAGGGTAAAAAATGTCATCAATATCACCATATTTTCCCCAGCTGATTATTCACAGCACATTAAGAAAATTATTTTGAATTACAAGTTTCCTGAAACATGTTATGTTTAAATATGCAAATGAATCATTATCTAATTAAACATGCAGTAATTTGCATACACTACCAAAACAGAATCACTCAATACATTTTTTACTAT